AAAATAAATCCGGGGGGGGCTGCAGGATGCCCTGGGGGGTCCCGGAGCATCCTGCAGCCTCCCCCACCCCAGGTATCCCCATCCCATTATTAAATTGGATTTTTTTATGCCAATCCCCTCTAGGCCCCACCCCCGCCAAATACATCCCCCCCCCTCCCCATCCTGCTCTCACCAAGCTGCTTATTTTTGGAGGAAAATAGGCTCAAAATTGGCTTTGCACAGTAGTATTATGAAGGGGGGCTGGGAGGGGGGAAATAAAAATAAAGATTTGCTGGAGAAAGGAGGTTCCCAAGCTCCCGTTTCCCTGATGAACGCTAATATATATCATTTGCATGTTAAAGTTCGATTCTTTTCTTTTTTCCTTTTTTTTTTTAGAGAATAAAATAGAAGCTATTTACAACGAAACAATCAAACAACAACCTCTTAAAATCCCATAGAGTGAGTGTAAGTTCTCAAAATAAAGGGGGTGGTGAGGGGAAAGGATCTAAATGAATAAAATATCTCCCGATTTCCAATTATTCTTTTTTTTTTTATGTTTTCTTTTTTTTCCTTTAGAGAGTGCCGGGGGGTTTCGCTAAAGCTCGCGTCAGCAGGCGTCCATGCGTCTGTCTGGAGGTAACACGAGTTAAAAAATAATAATAATAATAATAATAAATGTACAGTGCAAAGTGTGATGTGAGTGAGGTAAACGGTCCCGGACCGGCGCGGCGCAGCGGGACGGCCAGCGGCTCCGGCAAAACCCCCGGGCTAAAGCTTTTCTGCCTTGAAAAGAAAATCCAACAACACGAGAACAAGGGCAGAGCCCGGTGGGACCCTGGTGAGATCCCAGTGGGACCTTGGTGAGACCCTGGTGAGATCCTGGTGGGACCCCCCTGAGACTCCAGTGAGACCTTGACCAGACTCCGGCCAGAGCCCGGCAGGACCCTGGTGGGACCCCAGTGAGATCCCAATGAGATCCCAGCCAGAGCCCAGCCAGATCCTGGTGGGACCCGGGTGGACCCCCCTGAGACTCCGTTGAGACCCTGACCAGACCCCAGTGAGACTCCGGCCAGAGCCCAGCGGGACCCTGGTGAGACCCTGGTGGGACCCTGATTAGATCCCGGTGAGATTCTGGCCAGAGCGCAGCCAGATCCTGGTGGGACCCCCCTGAGACTCTGGTGAGACCCCGGCCAGAGCCCGGCAGGACCCTGGTGGGACCCCGGTGAGACCCCAGCCCCATGCCACAACCGCTGCCGGGTGAGGTGCTGCTGGCGCTGGGCAGGGGCTGGGGGGCCGGGGGCATTAAGGCGAAGCGTTGTTGGAGGTAGAGGTGGGGGGCACGGCCAGCCCGGCCGGTGCCGCGGGGGGGGCGCTGCCGCCACTCCCCACACCGCCGCCGCTGCTGCTCCGGCTGCCGCCGCTGCCACCATTGCCTTTGGTGTAGGCAGAGGAGGGGAGCGAGGAGGAGGAGGAGGAAGAGGAGGAGGAAGGGCCTGGGGTCTGGGCGAACAGCACACCTGGGGAGAGAGCGGGGTGGGGGGTTGAGCCGGGGGGGGGCAGCACGGCCATTCCATCGCCGCCCACGCGCACCCCGAAAATGGAGTCGCCGCCAGCGGTGCCCGTCCCTCACCTGTGTAGACGATACCGTTGATCTCAACCGACATGCTGATGCTGTTGGTGCCGTTGCTGCTCAGGCCGGCGGCCGAGTCCTGGCGGTTCTCTGCCAGGGGAGAGATGGGTTACGTGCTGGGATCGGGACCGGGGGCCGCAGTGGCGGCGGCTTTGCCGGGGCGGGGGGCCGGGGCCGGCACTGACCTGGCGAGCGGGTGCCCTGGCTGTTGATGCGGATGCTCATGGGCAGCTGGGCCGTCATGGCCAGGAGGTTCTGCTGCAGCGCCCGCTGCATCAGCCGCTGCTGCTCGTCCGTCACCAGCGCCATCTTCTTCTCCGGCGGCTCTCCCGACTCCAGCTTCTCCCGCAGCTGCTCCAGCGCCGCAGCCTGAGCCGCCGCCGCCACCTGCACCGCGGCCGCCTGGGCCGCCACCACGGGGTGGCCGGCCAGCGAGACGGGGAGCCGGCTGGGCATGGAGATGGGGATGGGGGAGTCCTCCTCTGTGGGGCAGAGCAGGTGGTCAGGGGCATGGGGGACAGGGACCAATGGTGGCCACCACCCCAGGGTATCCCCAGACTCTTCACACCTCGGGGGCTGCCCGGCATCTCCTGCTCCTCCAAGGGCCAGAGCTGGGCGACCGGAGTCAGGGGTCCCCAAAACCAGTCCCAGTGCCCAGAGCCCGGGGAGGGGACGGGAGTGTGACCCCCCCAGCTCCGTGGTGGACTCCGTGGTGGCCATTACCTTTCTTGATCTTCTGGACGGGAGCGATGGAGCCGCCGTTGGTGGCGGAGGCGAGGCCCAGTGCTGGCACCGGCAGCTTGGGGGAGGAGAGGAGGCCATGGGTGCCGCCGGGCGAGTAGGTGAAGAGGGAGCTGCCGAAGCCCTGCCGGCGTCCCTCCCGCCGGTTGCTGTCGATGGCCGCCTGCAGCTCATTGGGGTTGCTCAGCCCTCGCTTCTCACATTCGTAGGGGTACAGGTACTTCATGTCCCTGCCGGTGGAAGGGGACGGTGAGGGTGACATGGCGGCCAGGCACCCCCTGCGCGTGTGCCGCCCCCTCCTTCCATACCCCTGTCCCTCTCCACCACCCCCAGACCGGGGACCCCCCCAGCATCCCCCATGGCCAGATCTGCCCCCCGAGCCCCCCGCCGAGCCCCCGCCGCTCACTGGGTGCGCAGGGTGAAGGCAGCGCTGGTGATGGAGGTGGGCAGGTTCAGCCCCTTGGTGATCTCCCGCCACAGCTTCTTGTTGATCACCTCCACCAGGCCCCCCTTCTCCGTCACCAGCGTGTACAGCATGTACAGGTCCAGCACCTGCTTGGCCATGATGGGGATCCGGTTGACGGGGGTCCCTGGGGAGCGGGGGGAGGAGAGAGCGGGTCGTGGCTGCTGCTTC